CACAAATGTAATATCACAGTATAATTGGACAGAATGTTATCAAAATATTTTATCTCTACCTGGGCTGATACAAGATTTTCTAATGTTTATATTGTGGTCATGTAGATTTAATCCTGTCTGGTCAAAGATTTGAAGGTCAGTCTTCTTACTGGTAAAAAATTTGAAAGTCAGTTATAATCTTGTAATTCAGTAGGTCTAGCTCCACTCTATTAGACCTGTACTTAGGTAAATAATTATGTCTCTGGAGAACATCTGCATCCTCCACCACCTTGATTATTTATCTATAGGCAAAACAGTTGAGCTCCAAATTCTCACCACTGATAGGGTTGCTGTACAGAAACCTGCATTAAGGTCAAGTATATAAGTGGTATTGACAGCAGGCATGTGTACCATCTCCTAGAACAACAGTTCACCTCTCCAAGTTAACTGCCATATTGGTAATTATTCTGTTATGTTCCTAACCCAAACTTTAATAGAGGGACTTCCTCATTCTTGGTGTATTTGTTGGTCTCTGGAGATGTTCATAGAATTTTCTCTAATAGCTTATGATAATTGGCCAGGAAATGAGATGTTTCGTTTTTGTTAGTTTGGTTATTTTCATTTCCTGAAGGGAGACATCCATTCATTTAATTTCAGACACAAGTCATGACTGACTCCCCTAAAACAAATGCAAAGAAATCCTTGTTCACTTAATCACATGCAAGGTTTTTAGATGCCCCTGTTATTTCTTGATAGTCATGTGCATTCCTCCCAACACCATCTGATCTATTAATTACATGCCCCCTTCCTGTTTCGTGTTGATGGTCATGTCCATCCCTCCCAACACCATCTGATCTATTAATTACATGCCCCCTTCCTGTTTCGTGTTGATGGTCATGTCCATCCCTCCCAACACCATCTGATCTATTAATTACATGCCCCCTTCCTGTTTCGTGTTGATGGTCATGTCCATCCCTCCCAACACCATCAGATCTGTTAATTACATGCCATCTTCCTGTTTCGTGTTGATGGTCATGTCCATCCCTCCCAACACCATCTGATCTATTAATTACATGCCCCCTTCCTGTTTCGTGTTGATGGTCATGTCCATCCCTCCCAACACCATCTGATCTATTAATTACATGCCCCCTTCCTGTTTCATGTTGATGGTCATGTCCATCCCTCCCAACACCATCTGATCTATTAATTACATGCCCCCTTCCTGTTTCGTGTTGATGGTCATGTCCATCCCTCCCAACACCATCTGATCTATTAATTACATGCCCCCTTCCTGTTTCGTGTTGATGGTCATGTCCATCCCTCCCAACACCATCTGATCTATTAATTACATGCCCCCTTCCTGTTTTGTGTTGATGGTCATGTCCATCCCTCCCAACACCATCTGATCTATTAATTACATGCCCCCTTCCTGTTTTGTGTTGATGGTCATGTCCATCCCTCCCAACACCATCTGATCTATTAATTACATGCCCCCTTCCTGTTTCGTGTTGATGGTCATGTCCATCCCTCCCAACACCATCAGATCTATTAATTACATGCCATCTTCCTGTTTCGTGTTGATGGTCATGTCCATCCCTCCCAACACCATCTGATCTATTAATCACCTGCCCTCTCCCTGTCTCATCTTCAATCAATGTCATTACGGAATTGGTCAATGTTATTTCAAAGGCATGGCTCACTTAGTCATGGCCAGGTTTGTAGTCCTCATGGTCCATAGGGGCTGCTTTCACTGTTACACTTGATATTGCTCGATCAGTTATTACCACTTCAATCATACTTTTCTCATTAAAAAAGACTATATCTATAGAACGTTATATACCTTAAATATTCGCGTATAGTGCACACTTTTTTAAGCTGAAACTGTCGTGTCAAAAAGGGGGTGCGCACTATACGCAGGTACATGCCATTCCTGGGGTTATCATTCCCGAGTTCTGCATCCGCCATATTGGATTACCTCCCTTCACATAGTTATATGTAAAAGTCATCGGTCTTATATGATAGTTTGGAGATAAAAACAACAAAAAAAATAAAATAAATTTCGAATGTTTTAATCATCTGCCATTCACGCTAGCATTACGGTGAATCTTACTATTGGTCAGGACTATAGTAGTGTCTGAATTTCTGCCTCATTTTGATGATGTATCTGTGGAATTCAATGAATCCGGAAGTTTTTAGGCGATTGTCGTTCTGTTCATAAATCGGACAGCCCATCCCACCGATGCCCAAAGTTGGTGACCCCATGACCTCTCTTGATCTGCATGGCCCGCACGCGCAGTTCTGTTGTACTGGCAGTGATGCCGGGATATCGGCGATCGCATACAAAGTTGAAGAGCTCTCTCCATCTCTGGGTGTTTCGCTGTCGCACCTATGGCAGCCCTTCTGGTCAGTGGTTGGGACTTTAGACGGTCTTTTCTTTCTTCCGTGCCTTGATATTTCACTCTGGAATGTCGAAGTCGTGACCGGCGGCACGAAACTCCAGTCTCTCGGCGTAGTCAAATGGCGTTCGCAGTTTCCCCATGTCGAAGTCGGTGTAAACAATCCATCATTAAATACCTTCGGATACCGCGATGGGTACAGATACCATGAAAGATCATGCCTATACTGAACAAACCACCTGCTTTTATGGGGACAAGGTAGGATTGAAAATGTTCAGACAGTTAAAACAACATCATTTTCTGACCAATAGTACGCGTTCAGCCCAAGCCAGGTGTCATCACCCTCCTCATACTCAAAGTGTTAACTGTCATTAACCGTTAATTATATAATCAGCCAAGCCTTTCATGCTTGTTAGGTCACCTGGGTAAATTTGTTTACTTAAGGTAATTACATGTGTTAGGGTCACGCTCATTGTGGTTTCCTAATTATCAATGGATCAGACCACATCAAATGTTTCGTCGCAGTGACCAGTCAATTAATTTTTCTGTAGATTTTTTTTTTTTTAGTCTGATCTCCAAAAAGTACCTGGGCACTATACGCGAGTGCGCACTATACGCGAATATTTACGGTACATCGTCAGCACGACCTATCACCAAAGAACATAATTCCACGACCACATTCCTTGTCATTGAAAACTGTTTAAAATAAATGGATGAATTAAAAATAGATAGATGAATTAAAAAACAAGTGTATGTTGTTGATAGGGCATTTTGACATGTGCTTTCTTTAGTTTTATCTGCTTTTTCATCATGATATACCACTTTGATATACCACTTTGATATACCACTTTCTTCATTCCTTTGTAACAATCCATCATACATACAGTATCTATAAGTGCCCTAACACTTTGATTTTGTTCTTTGGGTGAGAGGTGGGCAGTTCAAAGTTATTATGAACCAAATCTGATCCATTTTATCTGATTGAGTTGAATCTGCAGCTGTTTTAAGTGTGTATAATATAGATGTGTTATATTTGGATGAGTGGTCAATATCCAAGTTTACTTTTGACTCACATATGCTTTTCCAGTTGTTTATGTTGGAAACAGTCTTGTGTTGACTAATCTTTATTCCTTCACTTGATGCACCAGTCTTTTGAAATGTGATAGCTGGAACATGAGTCTCCAACTTGTGAATAAAAAAGACAAAAAAAATAACTGAGATTGTGAGATGATAAGAGTCTGGCTATCGGTATATACTACAGTATATAGTTAGCAAAAATGTTCTTAGCAAAATCATGGTGATAAACAGAATTGGGGATAAATCAGAGAATGGTATCCCAAGGGACCTACTGTATCTTAAACATCATATAAAATAAAATATATATAAGTTAGTTCAACATTTTTTGGAAATTACTAGACATGCATCTGTATGGTTAATGGCTGTATCTAAACAAACTACAAAATATAAGGCTTTTCTCTAATTCACAAGGCATGTAATACATTATGCAAGCATGTACCAATTTACAGCATATCAAAATTGTTTGGAACATTAACTTTATCTTCAAGCCATATATTCATTTCTGTGTCTTCTTTATTACCACCGGATTCTTATCATTACTTGATGGTTGGTACACAGAAGAATATATCAATTCTATGAATTTGAAAGAGAAGATTTCAGTCAAAATACAATGTATAACCAAAAGATATATTTAGAATGTAATGTCCACAACATTACTGTCTGTTATATACTGATGATACAGACAACATCAAGCCATCAGGCAAAGATTTTAGGAATGCAATACTTATTCTGTTATACTGAGATGTCCATGGTCAGAACCAGCATCTACAAGTCAAACACAGATACCAAAAAATGTAATCTGACACTTATTATTTTTGGTGTTGAAGTGTCATTTCAAGGAAACCAGAGATTGGAAACCAGACTTTATAGCTTAAGTGTGCCATCTTGCTACATTAGAAAACAGGAAAGGTTTGCTAAGCTATCTATCTGTACCCTGATTACTAACCAGAGGAAATAGAATTGCTCATTACCCACTTGCTACAGAGAACTCCAGGCAAGTAGACCGACAACTCCCTACAGAAGTACAGATATGTTTTTGGTCTTTTGTTATATATACCTAGATCTTTGTCGTATGTTTTCTCCTTAATTATTTATATTCTTACTTGGCCATATAATGATGTTAAGGATTGGTCAGGATCATCATAATGCTAGTATGCATACATGTATGTTGTGTGTGATCATTACAGTGTGATGGCACTATAAATTATCTTTGGATATTCCTATCATCACAGGCTATACTTGCCTTTGGTAAATCTAGGTTGATATGCTGTAGATCAGTATATTTGAGATATTGATGTGACATCAGAGCGAAAAAAAATAAAGGTTTGGAGTTACTCAAATGTCGGTAATTTTTCTGTGGATATAGTTTCAGTTAATATTTTGTATATTAAAGGTTTGATATCTGATATTATCTGTTATGTTAACTTGACAGATGGTAACAATGTGATTTTGTACTTGACATGTTATAATTTAATGCTTACCTGACAGGTGTTAATTAAGTGATGTTTAGCAGACAGGTTCTAACAATATATATTTGATGTGTTACAGATCTATGCTAGGTTGTGAAGAACTACAGAAATATGACAGAGTACGTGTGTTTCTGGATGAGGACTACACTGCTGCAGACAAGTTCACAGTAAGTATGCACAAACTTCAAAATGAATAGAGCATTACTACCATATTTTCCAGCCTATAAGCCACACCCTAGTATAAGCTGTAGGGCAAGTTTTTAGATTTTTTTTCCCCCACATATGAGACACACCGAAATATAAGCTGCAACCTTTCATATGATGTGACAACCATTATGTTGACCAAAGTTCATTGATATAGCAGAAAATGGAAGACGCTTTATCAAGATCATCAGTGAAACACTTAATATAGTTTGGAAATGAATTGTACACAGATTATCCTTTATTTCATTGATGTGTTTCAAAAACTTCTGATAGCTATTGTCAAACTCGTTTGGCTTGGGAGCCTTTAAAGAAATAGGGCCTGACGTTATGTACAGTTTACCTAAAAATATCTCCATATTTATTGGATCATGTGAGATTTGTGTTGACAATATATAATACATACATCTGTTTTCATGTCGTGCAGGTAAACTTATCACCAGGGAAATTGCATCTGATTTTGTGTGAAGTATTTACAGAATATTGAATGGAGTATATGATATTTTGTATAAAATTCTCCATAATAATAGGTCCCTGTCGTCTTGTATTTAGTGGATTTTTTTATTGAGAAGATCACAGATTGCTGATCTGATCTGCTGGAGATGTAGCTACTACATGTAATGTCAGGTACAGATCAAGATTTACACATGAAGGGTTTTGAATCACTTGCTACACATTAAATAAAATGGTTTACCTGGAAAACTTAACAAATAGGAATTATGTGAATGAAATCTAGAGGATCGGGGATACTATGCCTTGCTTTAGGAAAGTCCAAGCTAACTTGAAACCATTTGCGAAAAAATTAAAAATTCATCTGAAAGCTTTCACGACAATCTTATTTTTTTGATTGGCAACATTTTGTAAACAGAAGTTCATTCTTCTGGTAGTTACAACAATACCTTGGTTGTACAAATTGGTTATCAGATGTTAAGGAAGTAATTTTATCTACACTATTTGCGAGGATGAGGGAAGTATCCTGTTATAGTTCTTGAGGTGTGTATATATAATGCATAATCACTGCAAATTTGGGCGCATAGCTTACATGGATCTTAAATGAGTGTTGATGTAATAAGAAATTTCAAACTTGTTAAACAAGTTGATATATGACTCTTGGCTTCTGACATAACAAATTATTGAATTGTGAAATGATTTCCAGATTACATCCAATACAATAGCACAAGTCTAAAATTCTGTTTATCATATGATTTATATTTTTTTAAATAAGCAAGAAACTCTCAATTTAATTTCCCTTTCACATTCACTTATTTCAATGGGGATGGTACAACATATACTACTGAGACAATAATTCATAATATCACAATTACACTTAAGACTTAGTGCTATTAGATGGCAGAACAAGCCAGTTTTGTGATAAACAGATATTCCATGGACCAATTACTGCATGGTCTTCTTAATATTAACTCTAACACATTGACTAGATAACATAACCAGGTTTAATTGGTTGCTTTAAAGACAAAACATTTGCTGCTGAAGCTGTGATCTGCTTCTAATTCTTTTTGTTTTGTCAACATTGTATACAATGTACCTGTGACCTGTTTCCTGTGTTAGTAAACTTTGACCTTATGGTGCTTCTAGGCCATGAAGATATATTTGTACCATTATATCTACGGAACCCTGGTGTGCATGTAGGCGGTATGTTTGATTAAATGGAGGGGCAACTTGTTAGACCCCGGAACAGGATCATGTAATAATCATAGCAGAGATTGTTTATTGAAGGACAGACCTACATTGTCTGCAACAAAATCTAAGAGGACTTGTTGAGATATAACTTTGAGGAAGTTGGCATTGATATTTCTCCCTCCTACAAGCTGTTAGATCCTGTAATTGATACCAGAGATACAGTCCTGTGACAGGGTGACTTATCCTACTGATGGAGTGTGGAAGGAATATAGTTGTGGTTATCAGTGCATATAGCAGAACAAAATAATGAGTTAGTATTTATTATGGAATGTTTATTGTTTGCAGTGAGTTACAAAAAATACAACCTGCTGTACTACATATATACAAAATGTATATATCCCAACCTTGTAGAGGGTTAGGTTTTTGCTTTTCTGAAGATTGAAATAGATTCCTTTAGAGTGAAAAAGAGATGCTACATGGTATTTCAATATAAACCTACACACTTAAGTATTGGGATTCCTTTGTAAGAGATATACATGTAGAGTAATGTAGTGAAGCTGCTGTTGATGGAGTTGAGTGACAGATAGTGATGAATAGCCATGTGTGTATGTTGTCATGGTTTACCACAGGCCAGGCAGTGTTCCTTAACATCCCAGATTACACTAGAGCTGTAGGAAATCAAACTCAACTGTTTAATCCTGTAGTAGTGAGGTATAACTGTTAGGAGTGGGGGAATTGAACATATTTTTTGCTATTTGTAGCTGGTAAAATTTAATGTGATAGGTACAGTATGGCTGCAGGTGTTGGGCTCCACCACATTAATGATTGGGTTAAGTGTCAGGAAGAAATCAAATTGATTCTTTCTCCATTTAATGCTGTGGTATAAATGTCTAGTGGCAAACTTGGTGAATTTGTTCATTATTGTGTAGTATAGGCATACCCAGTGGACCTTCAAGTGCAAAGTTAAGTTAAAGTACAGACTATAATGTTAGAAATGTTGGGATGTTTCCAACATAGGCAGTTGTCTCCCTTTATTATATAACATGGCAATAATTAATGATGTATTCTATCAATGTTTGTAGTGGAGGTAGTACTTGTTTGGGGTATGTAGCTTTTCATCTCCCAAAATTAAAGGTCAAGGTCACTTGCTTTAAATTGAAAATCAGTCATTGTTATTCTATAAGAAAAATCAGTTTCCCTGCGATAACTTAAGATTGCTTTGGCCAATCAATCTCAGACCTCATACAATGCTTCCTTACAAAAATGACTTGCTTCGAATGGCTTTACAGGTCCCAGGGTCAATGGTCCAGATTACTGTTACTCTAAGTAGAAAATTGGTTTCCGTGATATAACTTGGGTTCCCTTGGACCAATCAAACTCCAATTTCATTTCAGTAATAATTACCATAACTTTAGTATGCAAATATGGTACCTACACCCATCTTTGTATCCCAAAAACAAAAGATTCAAAAATCCCGCCCTCCCTACGACCATGAGCCTTCACGTCATGAACATAGAGTTATTTCCCTTCCTCTTATCTTTATGGCTACCGGAGCGGGCGGACGTGCTATATTCAGCTGAGTGTCTTCCTTTTCCTTTTAGCTTAAGTCTACCTTATAGCCGATTATTTATATATCGGTTTATTGCTTTAAACCCATCCTTAACTATAACAGTCTTTGCAGACGTTTATTTAGTTAATATATCCTGCTTTTAGGCCTTAATCGGCCGGCCTTTGTTCGGCCTTTGTTCGGCCATTTTGCTATACTCCACGCACCGAGCGCGTATCTACGTGTTTTGCGCTGTTCGGTTTTTTCGTGAAGTTTTTTCGCTTTTTATCGGTCGTATTATTTATTCGACCGTATATTTTGCTTTGCTTTTTTACGTTTCGTTAGCTTTTGCTTTCGTTCGTATTTGTTTGTTGGAGTTGTGTTTTTTCACTCCAT